CGAGCCACCATAGGGACCGCCAGCTCAATGGCGTACAGATACCATTAATGGTGATGCCGCTGGTCATCTCGAACTCTCGGAGGGCTTCATAGCTTGCTCAAAAATGGCGTCAGAGTCTTGGCTCATATCGAGGCCAATAAAATGACTAATAACGCCTTCAGTGGCGAGGCTCGACGCCCACGAGCAAGGGGAGTCGATAATGACAGCTTTCACACCGAGTTCATGTGCCTTCTCGTAGATGAATCTCTTGCCATGGTAACCAGCGTTGAAAAAGACGATACATGTGTTGAATAGGAGGGACTCCCTCAACTTCTGCCCTTGTAGGCCACCCGCGGTCAAGGTCTCCCAAGATATACCACAAGTGTCGAGGGCGCGACTGTGTAAACCGTTGTCGACATTAGTGGGGGTCTCGGGCTCATGGGACCTGAGGAGGGACGGTGAATCGAAGTCTGATGACGATCAACTTACAGTGACCAGACGGATAGGTTGTCCTGACTGGGAGATTCGAACGCCATAGTAGACTGGCTGGTAGAGGGAGTTACCCCGGACTTCAAGCCTTCACCGAGGAAGTTAATCATCGAAGCATGAGAATCAGTAGTGGCCATTGGGAGGCACCGCGGAGGGAAAATCACCCTAAAGTCTATGAACAGATACATTTCGTATGCGTGCAAGTTGAGACGCCGAAGAGCACGAAATCGCGCGCCGCGAAAAAAGCGGCCGCGCGACCCTCTGCTAGGTATTGAATTGACAACTGAAAGAACAACGATTATCACACCAACGAAGATTTAGCCGCTTATCACTTTTAATCTGACCGAATCTCGACTTATGTTTGTTAACGTTGATAAGCCAAGCCCACTACCCCATATTGACCATGCCCTCAAATTCGCCGAGCGTTACAACTGGAGCGGTCCCAGCCGTTTCATGAGATATGTTATCGTATCATTTGAAGGGCTACCATACAAAACAGCACACGAGAAAGAGCAGAAAAAAGTGCGATGTGCTGTAATAGTAGTTTGACGTACAGAACCGCAGAAGTGCGGTTTTCTACAACTAAAACTCGCAGGTAACCATTACAGCACAAAAATAAATCGCACTGTCAAAAGAGCGGCTGCGCTCTTATTTACGAAAAATGTGTTATTATGAAATCGCAGATGCTGTTTTGTATAAAGTTTGTATGCGGTTATGGATTTCGAGTGCTCTTTTGTCCGTTGCCCTTTTCATACATAACAGCAATCGCGATAAGTAACGTGGCGTTTCGATCGTGTAGCGGAGCTGGCTGATTACCAACCTGGTTGTTAACACAAGAACCGGGCATTTCTGCAGACAGATCGCTAAGTTATCCTTGGGGTAGAAGGGTTGAAGAATCAATGAGGGAAGAGGGAGAAGAACCCAACTACGATCTTGAGCCAAGATGGCTACGGTCGTCTTACAATCACTAGTGTCCCAAAGGCTTGTGCTTACTAAGCCAACCTACGTCTAAGGGACGACTAATGGGGTCGACAAGGACGAAAGTAGCGAGTGTAACAAAGCAATATGATCATAGAACTGCAAAAGAGAACGAATTCGACGCCTAGCCGTTTCAGCCGTTTCAACAAGTCGACATGAAACTGCCTAGCGGAGCGAAGCGATCGCTACACTGCCGCCGCCGCTAGACGGAGTTGACGAAGCATATTACGAGTAGGAGGTACTCTATACTTGAGGCAGACGATATCGCGTAGAGTCGTTCTTGGAATATCCATCGTCTCACTACTCAGAACTGCAGGTTCGTCAACTAATCGGTCAGCTTCAATCATACGGTTAGTAGGGTCAACAAAAGGGATAATAGTAACAGCATTCTCGTCGCAGTTAACGATGTAACCTGCAATTGAGGTGTAGGGGAAGTAGCGATGACCGGGATCCACAAATACCCTTATCGAACCAATCTCAAAGATCCTGTCATCGTCGGGTTGTTGATCTAATTGGGAGGTATGCTCCTCTATATCACCAGTAGGAGCATTTGCAGGACTTGTAGTAGTCTGTGGAGAGTCAGCTCCGGGACTATCGTTCGCATCAGGTTGAGGGGGCTCTTCCACGACATCGTCAGGACATACATCATCATCGCCATCATCATACGCGTGGAAGGGCTTCAGGTTAGTAGTTGCAGCCTTGAAATCTACATCGTTGCGACGAATAGTGGTGACACTTCCGCGTGTCTCAACAACCGGATAGGGACCCTCCCAGCTCCAACCAATGAACTTTCCAGGCTTCCTTGTCCAGAGTAGGACCTTCTGACCCGGACGAAGATCGAATAATCGTCTCCTAGATAATGTAGCCATACGAACTTTCTCACGTAGATCACACCAGATAGAGGTCCAACGCTTCCACTTGGTGACTTGTCTAGTCTTCATCTCATTAATGAGCTCATTCGAATCGTCGAATAGAGGAGCCTCCGGGGGAAGATTCTC